CTGAGCCCCCTCTACCAGCACACCGAGGCTGGTCAAGTCACCTCCAGGGCCAGCGCTAAATCTGGCCCACCTTCCAGACCATGTCCTTAGGAAATGAGGGCCACACTGGACTTCCAGGGTCCTGGGCAGAGCCAGAGAGACCCTCTCTGGGATTCTTGTAAAGCAGGCTGTCCACAGGACCCCAGGAAATCCATGTTCCTCCTTCTTCATGCTCAGGGCTCCGTACACAGCAGGTACTCAGTCGTGCTTGTGGAATGTAGAGGAAGACCCAGCCCTGGGGCTGGGGAGAGAGACAGCAGAGCAAAGGCCTGGAAGAGTCAGCCTGTAGGCTAGGTAGGTCAGAGAGACCAGCTGGGTCCTGAGCTCCTTCCTGGGGGGAGAGAACCAGCCCAGGCAGTAGGCAGGCCGAACACCAGCCTCTGCTCCTGACGGCCGTGGGCAGGCCCTGGGGAAGGCTCGGTGGGCCCCGCAGCACGGACCCCACAGCCCGGCACCACTCCCCCAGTTTCCAGAGCAGGAAACCGAGACACAGAGGAGGTAACAGCCCCAACACAGATCCAGGGCTGGAGCCTGTCAGCTGCCCCCCCCCACCTCCCACCTTCTCTGGCTCTCAGCTGCCGGGAAGTCAGTGGGGATGGAGAAAGGGGGGAGGAGAAAAGGAGGAGGGAGAGGGGAGAGGATGAGAGGGAGGGCTGGAGGGGGAGAGGGATGGCAGGAGGGAAGGTGCTCAGAGGGAATGAGAGGCAGGTTTCTAACCCTTCAGGCGAGCATCCATCCAAATGAATGAACCACAAAGGTTTCATTCCCCCAGCCCCTCGGAGCCCCATGGGAGGCGCAGTCGGAGGCCAGACCAGAGAAGCCTCGAAGTGGGTTCAGAGAGGAAGCTAAGCCTCTGGGCCCAAACCCAGGGCCTAGAGCTGCTCTGAGCGGCTGGCTCCGCAGCCTCTTCGCTTGCACCTTGCACACTCACCTGCAGGCTCGCGCGTGCGCTGGAAGGTCTGGCCTGGGAAGCACAGGTAGAGCTCTGAAAGGGCAGCAGAGGGAGAGCTGGGGGAGCAGGCAGCCACCCCGGCCAGGCGAGCGAGCACCGAGCAGCCCTCCCATCCTCCCCAGGCCCGGGGCGATCCACTTACTCTGCCGAAGGCCCTTCCTACAGGCCCTCCAGTGGAACAAGAGGAAGGTGCAGGAGACAAGGAGCAGTACCAGCACCAGGGTCACCAGGAGCACAGTTCCTGAAACAGAGAGGGCCCTGCAAGCTCTGCCCACGCCCTGCAGCCAGCACCAGGGCAGCCCAGCCTGGACAGGGGACCTGACTCCCTGGGGCTGACTGTGCCCCATCCATGCTGAGACCCAGCCCCGCCCCCTACCTGCCCCTCCCTTGACTCCAGGTGGCCCATCAGGGCTGACTAGATACAGATGGTTTAGAGAGGAGCAAACTACTCCTAAACCAAAACACACAGAGTGGAACTGTGCCCTGTAGGGCTTCTTGTTCACCAGGCCTTTCTTCCGTGGCACCACTGAGTGGGTCAGAACCCCCAGCCTCTGGGTTAGCAGTCAGACAAACGGTGACCACCACCCAGGGCCCGTTGCCACCAAACCGGTTTCGACGCAGGGCAGCCCCACAGCCCCATGTGCCACAGCCGCTTCAAATGGCGGCTTTTCCTGAAGTGACCGCCAGGGCTTTCTTCCGAGGTGCCTCTGGGGGGAACTCAAACCAAATGACCTTTCTTGTGGTCAGCAGCCAGGTGTTTAACTATGTGCCCCACCCAGGGACTCCAAGGGTCTCCCTAAAGCAGCGGTTCTCAACCGTCCTCCCGCCTCGACCCTTTCATACAGTTCCTCATGTGGGGGTGACCCCCGACCATAAAATTATTTTCGTTCCTACTTCATAACTGTAATTTTGCTACTGTGATGAATCATCATGTAAATATCTGATAACCATATTTTCATGGTTACAAATTGAACATAATTAAAGCATAGTGATTCATCACAAAACAATCTCATTATATATTGTGAAATATTTCTTTCTAATGACAAATAAGTGAAATCGTGTCTTGAAGCATGATGTAGCATGGGTAACAGTCTTCACGCCGGGTACTCATGTGGGCGTATCTGTATGTGGGCAGACCCGCCTGGAGATGGATAGAGGAGCGCTGTCTCAGTTCCTAAGACCACCAGATGATCTTAGCTGACCCCTGTGAAAGGGTTCTTCGACTCCCAAAGGGTCACGATCCACAGGTTGAGGACTGCTACCCTAAAGCCAAAACCAATCGCTATTGATTCGATCCTGGCATCCTGGAAAGGCAGAGTGGCACTGCCCTTTTGGAATGCTGAGACTGTAAATCTTTGTGGGCATAAAATCTGCCTCCAAGGAGTACCACCTGGTGGTTTTGAACTGCAGACCTTGTGGTTAGCAGCCCATCACATAATGCACAACGCCGCCATCTCTAGAGAGTGATAAACGGAGGAGCCAAGAAGGAAGAAAGGATTGAGTCAGCAAGGACTGAGCCTGGGGCTTCTATGGAAGGCACAGGGCGGTGAGCAGCCCGGGCAGCTGGCGGCATCAGACGTGGCAAAGGTCCGGGTCAGGCAGGCAGCACTGCGAGGGTGATTATGTGAAGGAGTGCACGGGACACTCCTGGCATTGCTATGCAGGTCACAGCTCCCAGACCCTATGCTCCATGAGGGCTGGCGTCTGGCCTGGCCTGCACGCAGTGCCTGCAGGGAACAAACCGACAATCCTATGCTGTCGGCACCACGCCAAAGCTAACTCACCGCCACCCGTGGCTTCTGAAACATCAGGAAACTCAAGGTTGGTGGTTCAAACTCACCTCAGGAGCAAGTTCAGGCTATCTGATCTAGTGAAGACTTCAAGCTTTGGAAACACTATGTAGGGTTCCTGTGAGTCAGACCGACTGAATGGCGGTAGATGACCCCATAGGACGGTAGATGACCCCATAGGACAGAGCAGAACTGCCCCTGTGGGTGTCCCAGACTTTTACACCCTTAGGAGAGCAGGTAGCGGACAGGGGCTGGTGAGTTCAACCTGCGGATCTTGCAGTGAGTATCTCAGTCGGTGACCCACATGCTACCAGGGCTCCTGGAGGCACTATTAGCATCTCGTTTTATAACTGAGGGGAGACTAAGCCTCACAGAAGTTAAATGTCTTCCTTGCCCAAGGGCAACTGCAGTCAAGACCCCATCCCCAGGGAGCTGATCTCAGGGGCTCACGTGGGAAGAGAAGGCTTTGGAAACGATGATGGCGGCATATGTGCAAATGTGCTTGACACCCTGGATGAATGTGTGGACTGTGATAAGAGATGTAAGAGCCCCCAATCAAAGTATTTTAAAAAACACACAATAAACAAACAAACAAACAAATGAGACCCCGTCCCTGCCAGGCGGATTTGGATGTCTTTCCTCACATCTGAGTACCTAGCTTTTTCTCCCTTTTTTCTCTTTTGATCACTTGTTTAGGTCGTCTACCTAGTTATTGTATTTAAACTCCATGGCTTAGGTACTTAAAAACACACACAAACGAATCCATGCCAGGTGAGTGCTTCTCAAACACGAAGGTGAACACAGATCTCTGGAGTTCTTGTTAAAATGCAGGTTCTGAGTCCATAGTTCTGAGGTGGAACAGAAACTTGGTTTTTCCAACACACAGGTGGTTAAACACCCAATTCTTAGCCGGAAGGTTGGCGGTTCAAACGCACCCAGAGGTGCCTCAAGACGAGCTTGACAATCGGCTTCTGAACCGTTGCTGCCTTGAAAAGCTAAGGAGCACACAGAGCCGCTGCAAGTCGATTTCCACGCCTGCAAACCAGCTCCCAGGCGGTGGTGAGAGGCAGGTCCACGGATGCGCTTTAAGAACGACAGTTCTGGCCTAGGGAAGTATCGCCACCTAGTGGCTGTCACCATAATCGCAAGTCCTAACGTGAATTGCCCAACATTTAATGGGTGCTAACCAAAGACCAAGCTCCCTATCACAGAGCCAACTCCGACTCCGGGCAACCCGAGGACAGGGTGGAACTGCCTCTGGGTTTCCAAGACAAATGCTTTACACCTGTGTAGAAACCCTCATCCCCTCCCAAAGGCCAACTGGTGGTTTTGAACTGCTAACCTTGCAGTTAGAACCACTACATCACCAGGGCTCCAGCACTAAGATGAGGCTTTTTGCTCCCATAAAAAGTGACAGTCACTGAAACCCACAGGGCAAGTCTAACCTGTCCCACAGGGTCGCTGTCCCATAGGGTCGCTGTGTCCGAATCAACTCCATGGCAGTGTGAGTGTGGTTTGTTGTTTAATAATGCTGGGCTGTGAGGAAGGAGCTTTGATAGTGTAGTGGTCATGAGTAGGGATGTGATCCGCATGGTAGGCAGTTCAAAACCACCAGCAGCTCCTCAGTAGAAAGACTGGACTTTCTATCCCTGTAAACAGTTACCGTCTTGGAAACCCACAGGGAGTGGCTATGTGTCAGCACTGACTCCCGGCTGTGAGTTTGGTTTGGTTGATGCTGTGGGGAGCCCCGGTGACTTAGTGGTTACACATTGGGCTGTGATCAGCAAGGCCCAAAGATCAAGACCACCAGCTGCTCCTTAGGAGAAACACAGGGCTTTCTACTCCGATAAACAGTTACAGGATCAGAAAATCACAGGGACAGTTCTACCCTGCCCAATCAGGTCAACTCAGTGGCAGGGAGTTTGGCTTTGGTTTGGTGCTGTCAGGGAAACATCAGGAAACTCAACGTTGGTGGTTCAAACTCACCTCAGGAACAAGTTCAAGTATCTGATCCAGTGAAGACTTCAAGCTTTAGAAACACTATGTAAGGTTCCTGTGAGTCAGACCGACTCAATGACGGTAGACGTCGGGTAGCAAGCCCGGGCAGGAGCCCTGTAGAGCCTGGCTCCTACCTGAAAGATCGGGCTTAGAACCCACAGAGTAGGAGAAAGATTACAGCCTCAACAGTCCTATGGAGCAGAAAGACCTGATGCTGCACTTCCAGGAAACTCCACCATCGTCAAACCCCGAGAGCACAAGTCTCCACTCACACACAGGATTGCCAAGAGTCAGGTCAATGCCATGCCAGCTGATCTTCAATGGACCGTTTATAGCCACTGCCTGCGACGTGTGAGGTACACAGCAAGCTGCTGACAGCCCTGGTCATAACTCATGACGCTGGCCCCAGCCCTGGTGGTCTCTGCCACACGGATTGACAGAAGAGAAAACAGAGGACCTAAGCCATTAACAACCAGCCCAAGGCCATGCTGCCACTCAACACACATTTTCTGAATTGCAACTATGGGTCACAGGAATGAAAGGATGAATAAAATCCTTGCACAAGAATTAGGGAATTGTCACTAGCCAGAGGCATAGCTGCAAATGAAAAACAAACAAACATAAAAACCCAGAAATCTCTGAGGTCCCCATGCTGTCCACAAATGGTAGAGGCTGCCGCCGCAGGAGAAGGACTTCCTCCCTACTTGGGGGGTGGGGGTGGGGGAGTGGTTGGCAGTCATTACCTGCATCTGGAACGGACTTCCCCGTGGAGGAGCGAACAGAAGTACTGGTGGAAAAGAAGGTGTCTTCCCAGCCATGAGTGGTGCTCAGGATAGCAGTGATGCCACTGTGAGGGAAACCAGAGACAGGACTTGCCATGGAGACGGAGATGATGGAGGTGGAGGAGATGGGGATGATGGAGATGATGGAGGTGGAGGAGATGGGGATGATGGAGATGATGGAGGTGGAGGAGATGGAGATGATGGAGGTGGAGGAGATGGGGATGATGGAGATGGAGATGATGGAGATGATGGAGATGATGGAG